CATATTTATATTCCGTGTCCTGCACGTTTTTATTATCTCAAGCATTTACATCCACTCTGCTATTGAGGTCAAGGGCCCACCACCACTAGACCAGAATTGTGCGAACCTTCCTGATGTGATCCTAGTTACGATCACTTGCTGATTTTAACATGTGTGTATGCGAGTGTGTCTATATGTGTGTATGTGCGTGCGTGTGTGTGTGTGCGTGCGTGTGTGTGTATGTGTGTGTGTGCGTGCGCGTGTGTATGTGTGTGTGTGTGTTTTGTTTGTTTGTTGTTTGTGTGTGTGTGCGTGTTTTTTTTTAATGGAAGTGTTTACTAGATCCTGGTGACATTTACATGCTGTACGAATGAGCTAAAATAATAATTTAGTGCAAAAAATTTATCGCCAGTGCCAATGATGCTAAACTAATCGAATATCGCGAAGGTTCGATGTACTTGGTGTGCGCGACTTGATTACTGTACAACTTCTTGAAGTGTGGGCTTTGGCAGCATACGCCCTTGAATGGAAAATATCATCGAGCGTGGTTGGACGCTGGGGCTGACCTCAGCAGCATTCTGGGTCCTTGTCGAGGAACTCTTTCGGCTAGGGGCATGCATTTGTTACCTGTTATAATTTCCTTCATCAATGTTTGTCGTTGTCCTAGCTTCTGGACACAAGCGTGAATCTCAAACCGCGCGTCGCAAATGCCAAAGCTGACGTGTATAGCATCAACTAAAATTTCAACCAACCAGCACGAAGATTGCGTCCTTGCTCGGCGCCCATAAGCTCTACAGTGCACTGTCCATTCGAAGTCCGACTTCACTGTGGTGGTTGAGCCAAAGAAATGCTTGATCCCTTGCGGTTGACAAGCCAGTTGGCAGCTGCACTGTTGGCCGGCTACGGGACGGGGTTGGCTTGTGCAAGTGAGGAAAAAGTCTGGTCTTGTTTTTTCATGGACTGTGCAACGGACAAGTCACTCCCCCCAAAGGCAGCATTGACATCGAGATGCTCTGGCGGGTCAGGGGCAGGTCAACCAAACCATGGAAACACAAATATGGAATGCTTCTCCAAACCAGTCCCAAGTACAGACCCCTTGATTGCCAGATTTCATTTGGACAGGACTCAAGCACAGCAAGCAATTGTTCAAGTGACAGGGCAGTTTTTTTCGTCCCGACGGTCAAGGCTGTTTCGTGATGCGGCCTATCGGATTGGGGCAACTTGAAGTGAGCTTTCTGCATCGGTCTGGGAACACTTGCAGTGCTTTCCGTGCTGATGTGCCCTGCCTTTGACTGCCAAAAGTTCCCGCGCTAGTGCTCTGTGAATTTGTTTGCGCAGGCAAGTTTCAGTTGAGCACATGCCACGTGGTAACGAACGCACGCGTAATTCCATCCACATAGCCTCCAGTTGACAACTTGCAATGTCAATTACCCTGCGAGTTGGAGTGACAATTCACGGGCAGCCAGCACTGTAAGATTCCTAGGGCAGCCGTACGAGGAACAGCTGGTTCCACGACCACCGGCGAGCGGCACACACGACAGCTGCTCGCAGCCGGGCAGAGCAAACCACTTGTGGGTGGGTCTCCCCGCACGAAAGCGTGGTGGAGGCAGTCATCAAAGCCGTTCCGTCTGTTCACTCCGCCCCACTCCACTCCACACTTGCCATCTTGCATAACCATCCCTGTGCACCGCCAGCACCAAACAGAGTGACCAAAATCCAACTCTGCTCAGTTTGCAATGGCAGGAGGAGAGGACAATCTCTCAAGTCTCTGGTCTCGCGTCCTTGCTTCCAGTGGCACTGTGATGCACAAAGGTCAACCTAGCAGCCTACACACAACTCCCACGACCCCAACAGCGCACATAGAGTCGGCTCTCGCTCAGCTACAGTCACAGCTGCATCAATCAACTCCTCAGTGAGCCTCGCATAGCTCCATACGCTCATTAAAATGCCGGACTAACATTCCCGGAAATCTCCTCCGTTACGGTTCACGCCCCGCCGTGTGCACTTACTTATTACCCTTTTTGATCGTGTCCGTGTTCCGATCTCTCTATTCCCCTCCAGCGCACCCGAGCCGCGCCAACACACGCCAGTACCTGCGGCGGCGGGCGGCGAGGCGTTCAACATCGAGTCGGCGTCGGCGGGCCCGTGGGCGTCGTCTCGCGCGCCCGCGTCGGGCGGCACGGTGGCGGGGATGAGTGCGGCGCTGGGGGCGAGCGCGATGGACTCGCAGCTGAACCACATGGGCATGGGCATGGCGGCCTATCCATACCTCCTCTACTCGCGCGGCCTCGCTACTTCTGCAGCGGCGGGCGGCAGCGCGGCGGGCGCATTGCCGTTCGGGCTGCTGGGGGAGTCGTCCGCCACGGCGGGTGGCCTTCCCTCCTCCATTCCGTCCATCGACGCCTTTCTCGCCGGCAACCACGCAGCTGCGGCGGCGGCGGCAGCAGCGGGTGTGTCGGCGTCGTCCGACGTGTCGGCGTCTCGCGATCTGTCATCATCCGCGCATCCTGCGGCTGATCTCTCCACCGGAGCGGGGTCCCGCTTCAACTTCGCCGCGTTTCCTCACGCCTCTGGCGCGGACGGCACACCGCAGGCGGCTTCGGCGGCGCTGCTCAACTTCTCCGGCCTCTTCGGTCAGTCCGCGCCCGCTGCTCGGGGCGCACCCAGCGGCAGCACTGCGCCGAGCGATGCGCGGCAGGGGCAGGGGCACCTGGCGGTGCTGCCGTTGGCTGGCTGCGAGGGCTCGGTGCGCAGCGTGGGCAGCGGCGGTGGCGCAATGGGCGCGAACGACGCGGCGTCGGGGATGCTGTCGTCGTGGCTGCAGCAACACTCAGGTGCGTCCAGAATCGGTCCCCGCTACTGCGCGTACTGTACGCATGCATGATTGCTTCCGCGAGGAACATGATTGTGCGCGAACCCCAACAGTGTGTGTGACTCGCGCTCCCCCCCGCGCGCCCGTTGGTTGCGGCAGGGCTGGCGGCGTTGGAGCTCGCGCCAAGCACCATGGAGCAGTCCGCCGCACCACGTTCCTCGCACCCACCGGACCACCCCCTGCCGTCCTCCCACTCCGCCTTCCCTTTCGCCCGCACTGCCTCCGCGCCCTCCCCCACCCACGCGCTTCGCCCCCCTTCCGCACCCCCAAGCGCGTCTGTCCCCGGCATCGACTTCAGCAGTCAACTGGGCGCCATCATGCGCGCCGGCCTCGCCCCCTCCAATGCGCCCCCGCTTGCCGCCTCCGCGCCCCTCTCCTCCCCGTCGCGTGGCGCCTCCAAGCCTCCCGGCGGGGAGTCAGCGGCGACGGCGCAGCAGAAGCGGGCGGCGGAGGAGCGCGAGATGCAGCTGCTGCCGCGCTCCAAGCGGATGGCGCCGCCGGGAGGGACAGGCGGACCGTTCCGAGACAACGAGGGCGGAGGAAAGGCGCACAGAACGGGCTTGGGGGGGATTTCCGCCGTGGCGGGGCCCGGGGCGCTGAATCTTGGGCGAATGGCGGCAGGGCTGGGGGAAGACGTGGCGCGGGCAGCAGCGAACGGACGGCTGCTGGCGTCGGAGGATGGCGTGCTGTGTAAGATCCGCGCCAAGCGAGGCTGCGCTACCCACCCCCGCAGCATCGCCGAACGGGTACGAGGCCCTCTCGACGCTCCATTGCCTCCTTCCGCCATGTTTCACCGCTGAGCATGGCATTATCGTCACTATTGCGCTGCCAGCCTAACGTTGACTCCCCCCCAATTCTTACCCACGCCCCACCCCCACGGCCCTGTCTCCCTCGCGTGTGATGCCATGGCAGGTGCGGCGGTCGCGCATAGCGGAGAACATGAAACGACTGGCGGAGCTGGTGCCCAACACGGACAAGCAGGCCAACACGGCCGACATGCTGGACGATGCTATTGACTACATGCGCCACCTGCAGCAGCAACTGCAGGTCAGCCCCGTGCACGCCACAACAGGTGCTGGTCAGTCACCCCACCCGCGTCCACCCGCAGCTGCAGGTCAGCCCCGGTGTACGTCTGCCCCGGTGCAGGTCAGCGAAGAACGCCCGTCATGCTCACCACCTCATGCTCCCTTCTCCCTCTCCCCTCCCCTGCTCGGCCCCCGTGCATCCCCCAGGCGGTGGCAGTGCAGCACCCCGACGTGGTGATCGAGCGCTTTGTGAGCCGCTTTGAGCGCCAGCGCGGCGCCGAGGACGGCGAGGCACGCGACGACCGCAGCGACGGTGGCGAGGACGGGGGCAGCCGGCGGGACGACGGTGGAGGCGAGATAGAGAGGGGCGAGTCGGACGGCAGCAGAGGCAGTGGCAGGGAGGGCGGGTATGGTGAGGGAGAGAGGGGGGACGTGATGGGAGAGATGGATCAGCTGGCGTTCACTCTGCAAGCAGACAAGGCGTTGGTGGGCGGTGTAGGCAGCAGTGGTGGCGGCAGCAGACAGGAGGAGCCCTCTGTGCTGCTGCAGCAGCAGCTGACCAGCCCACGTGGCTTTCACCTGTGACAGTGCATGCACACACCCCACCTGCATCCCATGTCCTGTGCCCTGCTGCCCTGCGTGGATCATGCGGCACTGCTTTTGCACCACCCTAGTCCGTCGACCCATGCATAGCATACGTACAACGATCCCTGACCCGCACTGCATATAGTAGCCTAGAAGGCCTGTGTAAAGTGGTTCTATATATATGACTACTATAAAATGCAAAACCATTTGGAAGCCACACTCTAAAGTGGGGAAGGAACAGGCAGGCAGCACGAGAGCACACGCCTCATGTGGCTGGGCATGCCCCAAACGGGATCGTAGCCCGTGCCATGAGCTGGAATGTGGTGGACGGTGTGCTGAGAGCACTGCACGTCATTGTTACCCATTACCATTACTGTGACGATGGTTCATCCCATGTGGTGCACACATGCACCCCAAGAGCCCAACCTGCGGCTGACCCCACTCTGTGAATGGCTGAGGCGGGGCAGCACGAGGCGGGGCAGCGTAAGCAGGGCGACATGGAGCGGGAGGCAAGCGGTGGGTTGTGAGGCGGGGCGGCATCAGGAGGTGATGTGTTCGAGGAGAGCGAGGGCGCTGTCGAGCGCCTGAGGGGAGGCGAAGTCCTGCAGCAGCAGCTGTGGTGGGCCGTGCGGGTGCGCGGGTGCGGGGACCATGGGGGAGAGGTGGTGAGGGAGAGAAGGGAGGGGGAAGAGGGAGAGAAGGGAGGGGGAAGAGGGAGAGAAGGGAGGGGGAAGAGGGAGAGAAGGGAGGGGGAAGAGGGAGGCAGGGAGCCAGAGAGAGGGGGGAAATGCGACAGAGGAAACATAGGCAGTGGCGATCAGGGCAGGGTGGGTGGAGGGATGAGAGCCCCCGGCAGCACCCACCGAGCTGTGCGCCCCCGACAGCACCCACCGAGGTGTGCGCGCCTGAGAGGTCGATCTTGAGCTGGTCGCTGCTGTCGCCCCGCCTGGCTGCTTGCTTCCCCACCCCCGCCACCTCCGCTGCCTCCAGCTTTATCTGCCCCACCGCCCCACCCCAGCCCACACATGGCACGCCCCCCCCAGCCCACACATGGCACGCCCCCCCCAGCCCACACATGGCACGCCCCCCCCAGCCCACACATGGCACGCCCCCCCCAGCCCACACATGGCACGCCCCCCCCAGCCCACACATGGCACGCCCCCCTCAGCCCACACATGGCACGCCCCCCCCCAGCCCACACATGGCACGCCCCCGGGCAGCACCGAGAGGAATGTGGGGAGGGGAGTGGGCAAGGGCATGGAAGTGGGCAAGGAAAAGGAACAAGGGCGGGAATGGCGGGGGGAAGGGAGTGGGAAAATGGTGAACTTAATGGGGCGAGGCAAAGAGAGACGGGGTTGGTGAGCATAGAGGGGCTGCTGGATGAGCAGCAGGGCAGGGCCCTCACGGGGATGCGGCGTCCACTGTCGTCAAGGCAGAGGCAGATGTGCTGCTGTGTGATGTAGAGCATGCCCCTGAAGGCCCTCCGCATGTCGGGCGTGAACGTGTTGTACACTGGTCGGTACAGCTGCAGCAGCCGACAGGGGAAGGCTGGGGGCCGTGGGAGAAGAGGGAGTGAGAAAGGGGGTGGAGTGGGAGGTGGGGTTGAGAAGTGAAGTGATGCGCAGAGCGGAGAGAAGGGAGAGGTATGAGGAGGGCGTACGGTGGAGAGGGCGAGAAGGGGAAAGAAGTATATGGCAGTGTGGAGTGTGAGGAATTCACGAGATGATGACTGCAAAAGGAATGCGGCAGGAAGGATGAAGGATGGGGGAGGATGGGGAAGGGAGTGTTGAGGAAAGGGGCAAACAGGCACAGCACCACAGCAGCCCAGCAGCACAGCATGCACAGCTCGCATGGAACATTCCACGCACCTTCCAGCAGGGTCTCATGGGTGGGGAGGCCAAAGATGGCCTGCAGGTCTATGGCTCTGGACGGGTGGGGCGACCGCGCACTGCCCTCCGCCCCTGCCTGCCCCTCCTCCTCCGCGCCCCCCGTCCCCCTGCCATCACTGCCCCCCCTGGCCTTGTGCGCCTCTGCCTGCGCTGCGCTGCTGCCACCCCCGGCGGCGGCGGGAGCAGTGGGCTTGTCGGAGGGGTAGGCGATAGCGGAGTCAAAGACACTGAAGAGCGACACAAAGCCCGTGCTCAGCCCTGTCACCTGCTCCACGCGCTCCCATGCATGCACACATGCACGCACACATGCATGCACACATGCACGCACACATGCACGCACACATGCACGCACACATGCACGCACACATGCACGCACACATGCACGCACACATGCACGCACACATGCACGCACACATGCACGCACACATGCACGCACACATGCACGCACACATGCACGCACATGCACGCGCACATGCACGCACACATGCACGCACACATGCAGGCACACATGCAGGCACACATGCAGGCACACATGCACGCACACATGCACGCACACATGCACGCACACATGCACGCACACATGCACGCACACATGCACGCACACATGCACGCACACATGCACGCACACATGCACGCACACGCACACATGCACGGACACATGCACGGACACATGCACGCACACATGCACGCACACATGCACGCACACATGCACGCGCACATGCACGCGCACATGCACGCACACATGCACGCACACATGCATGCACACATGCACACACACCCCCATGCATGCACGCATGCACGCACTCCCACATGCATGCACACACTCGCATGCATGCACTCATGCACCCCACACCCACGTGCAAACACACACTCACATGCACCGCACACTCACATGCACCGCACACTCACATGCACCGCACACCCACATGCACCGCACACCCACATGCATCGCACACCCACATGCACCGCACACACTCACATGCATGCACACATGCACGCACAGGCACACACAGGAACACGCATGCACGCATGCACGCGCACTCGCACGCACGCACGCACACGCGCGCACACACACGCACACGTACGCACACACGCCCGCCCGCCCGCACGCACGCACGCACACACGCGGGGAGAGGAGGGGAGGGGAGGGGCTGTGAGGGAGGTGGCGACGTGGAGGTGAGGCCGCAGGGAGGGCTTTAAAGAATGCCAAGAGTGCCGCACACTGTTGCCCCTCACCCGCTCCCCCGCTCGCCCCGCACTCTCTCGATCTTCCCCCGTCCGCCCCACTCCCCCCACCCACACTTTTTTTTTCCCCCGCCTAACCCTCCCGCGCGTCCTTCCCTTCTCCCCCCCCTCTCCCCCCAAACTCACCCGCTCGCCCAGGCTGCTCACGACGGCGGCTGCCTCGGCGCCCGCGCTGCTCGCGAGACCCGCCACGCCCGCCGCCACGCCCGCCGCCACCTGCCCCACAGCCGCCGCCACCTCGCCCTGCCCCGACCCCGCCGCGCCTCTCTCTCGCCCGTGCGCTTTCGACGGCGACACCAGCGCCGCTGCGGATTCCGCCTCGTCCTGCCCCGCGCGTTCCGGGGGCTCCGCGCGTTCCTTCCGCGGATCGCCGGGCGCGCCATCGCTGCATGGTGGTTCCGCGGACGAGTCGTCCGCCTTCGACTCCGCCCCGCCAGCGGCTGCGCCCCCTGCGGCCTCCCTGTCTGCCAGTTCGCCAACCGTAGTCACATCGGACGGACCCGGTCGCTCCACGAGAATTGGAGAATCTGAGCCGTCCGATTGGGAGTCCGCGGCGTCTGAGTGGGTGGACGCCATGACAGCCGCCACGAGCGGCGCGCGGACCGTCGCTGCCGCGCCCGTGGGGCGAGGATTGGAAGGAGTGAGGAGCTTGAGACTCTAGGGGTTGCCGCGTGCCGACTCGAGTGCGCTCGCGCGCGACGATGGAAATGAGGCTGTGGCGTAGGAAAAGCTAGGAAAATGGTGCAATATGGGCAGCATCCGTGAGCGAACCCGTCAGTGGTTCGGCGGAAGTCGATGGAAGGTGATGGCGAAACAGTTTTAATTCAGTGTAACTTTTGTGCAAATAGTTAAAAGAAAAGGTAAGAATATTTTGATTGAGATACTTGAACGGACTGTTGTCCTTTGAGCCGACTAACTGATGTTAACATTTCATCTCTAATCCTGGTGAGGGCGGTCGGCCTGGGGTGGCAGGGCAGCGGGCAGATGGTCGGGCGGCTGGAAGCCAGGCAGCAGCGATGTGAGGAAGCCCACCACAAACACCTGCACCTCCTGTAGCCATCCCCGCCTCTGCTGCTGCTGCTGCTGCTGCACTCCCTGCTGTGGTGGCTGCTGTTGCAAGGCTTGAACGGCTGCAGCACACAAGATGAGACGAAGGATGTGACACACAATGAGACTGAAGAAGGGAATGAGGAATAACGGAGCATGAAAGGCAAGGCGAGAAGCAGCCAGTGAAGGGAGGGGTGGCACAGTCAAGCAACGGCATGCAAGCGGGGTGGGGCTAGGCAAGAGGGGTGGGGCAGAGAGCACTTAGCCTCGCACCTGCTTGGCCCTGCACACCACCTGCCGCCCCGCCGACACCTCCCTCCGCCCCTGCCGCCCCTCCCCCACCCCCTGCAGCCCCGGCTCCAGCCTGAGGTGGCACAGCAGCGTGGGGGGCAGCAGCGGCGTGGGGGGGGTGGGGAGGCAGGCCCATGGCGGCCTGCGCGCGGTGGGAGAGCCATCGCAGCAGCGGCGCCAGCACGCCCGCTTGGTACCTGCCCATGGGGGAGAGGGCGCAGAGCGCAGAGAAGAGGGTGTGAGGAGGACGGGAAAGAGGTGAAGAGCTGACACAGCTGCCACATGCTGGTGTGAGTAAACGAAAAGCTGGGCGGCTCACAGGTAGATGAAGAGAGCAGCAGCGATGAGGGCAAAGAAGCGGCGGTAGCCCCCGCCCTGGCCGAACACATAGACAAGCAGCGTGAGCTTGAGCAGCAGCATGAGGTCGATGCGGATTGCAAACTGAATGCGCCGCACTCTAGGCGCGCCCTCCACTGCTGCCGCCCCCCCCACCCCCACATGCCCTGCTGCATCCCCTGCCGCCCTGCCTCCTCCTGGCACTCCTGCAAGCCCACCTGCGCCCCCCCTCTGTGCAGCAACGGCGGCAGCAGCAGCAGCGGCCATGGCTGCGTGGTGCTCTGCCATCTGCTGCTGCCGCACTGCCTGCATCACCGCCTGCAGCCGCTGCTGCAGCTGCTGCTGCCACTCCTCCTCCACCCCTCCCACTGCGCCCGCCTGCCGCACATGCTGCTGCACGGCCGCCGCTGCTGCCGCCTCCTCCCCCACGGCACCTGGCGCTGCAGCAGGGGCGGCGGGATGGGGCTGTGCTGCCCCTGCCTGAGGCAAAGGTGCTGCCGCTGGTGCGGGCGGTGGTGGTGCGAGGCCCACAGTGGGTGGGTGGTGCGGGTGGGTGTGCACAGGCGCGCCAACAGGGGGGGCAGGGCTGGCAGCACACGGCAGAGGCACAGAGGCAGGGGCACATGGTGGGGCGAGGGGATCAAGTGGAGAACAAGGATAAGAATGTGGAGGAACAGTTGCAGTGGGCTCAAGGCTAAAAGGAAAAAACTAAATCGGTCCAACTGTAAGCATGAAGAGATAAAGGAGCCTCTCGCACTGCTAAGATGCCTCTCGCACTGCTAAGATGCCTCTCGCACTGCTAAGATGCCTCTCGCACTGCTAAGATGCCTCTCGCACTGCTAAGATGCCTCTCGCACTGCTAAGATGCCTCTCGCACTGCTAAGATGCCTCTCGCACTGCTAAGATGCCTCTCGCACTGCTAAGATGCCTCTCGCACTGCTAAGATGCCTCTCGCACTGCTAAGATGCCTCTCGCACTGCTAAGATGCCTCTCGCACTGCTAAGATGCCTCTCGCACTGCTAAGATGCCTCTCGCACTGCTAAGATGCCTCTCGCACTGCTAAGATGCCTCTCGCACTGCTAAGATGCCTCTCGCACTGCTAAGATGCCTCTCGCACTGCTAAGATGCCTCTCGCACTGCTAAGATGCCTCTCGCACTGCTAAGATGCCTCTCGCACTGCTAAGATGCCTCTCGCACTGCTAAGATGCCTCTCGCACTGCTAAGATGCCTCTCGCACTGCTATGATGCCTCTCACACTGCTAAGACGCCTAATGCACTCTAAAAAACAGCTCACCTGTTGCCGTTGCTGGCGAATGGGTGCGGAGGAGGCATGGTGGGTGGGAAGGCGAAGGGAGGCATGGGAGGGGCAAAGGCGATGGGTGCGAGGGGATCACCCGGCATGGGCATGGGCGGAGGGGAGGGCCAGGGAAAAGGGAAAGCGAAGGGGAAGGGCATGGGCGGCATGGTGAGGGGGAGCAGAGGGGAGTGCAGTAAAGGTGGGTAGAGGGCTGATGCAGGCATGGAAGAGTCAGCAGGCAGCATGAAGGGCGGCAGCGTGAAAGGCGAGTATGGCGGCGGAAGGGCCGGCAGGGGCGGCGCCATGAGAGGCGAGAAGGGCAGAGGCGGCAGGCCAGTGGGCGCAGTGTGTTGCAGCGCACCGAGCAGCTGCGAGGGGCCCAGGATGGAGAGGGGGAGAGAGGGGAGGACGGGGAGAGGGTAGGGAGGCGTGTGAACAGAGCAGACAGGAGAGAGGAGGAGCGAGGGTAGAGTGGAGAGGCGAGGGTAGAGAGGAGAGGAAAGGGTAGAGATGAGCGGTGAGGGTAGAGAGCGGGAAGAGGAGGGCGAACGTGGCAGCAGAAGCGACTGAATACTCACCTGAAGGATGGCTTGCTGCTGCTCTCCCCCCCCAGCAGCGGCAGCGGCCTGCGTAACAGCTGGAGCTGTTGTTGCTGCTGTTGCTGCTGCTGTTGCTGCTGCTGTGGGTGCTCGCCCTTCTGCCTCTCCCCCGCCCGCTGTAAGCCCCCCCACTGCGCCAGGACCCGCGGCTGCAGCAGCCACAGCGGGCGCCGCAGCTGCAGCGGCCGGCGCTACAGCCGTCCCGTCCGCCTCCACTGCGTGCGCCTGCCCGGACCCCGGGACAGCGCCTGCGCGCTGCAGTGAGGCGGCGGCGGCAGCGGCGGGCGCAGGGATTGGCGCAGGCGCGGCAGGGAAAGGAGCAAGCGCGAGGTTGGAGGCAGGGAGGGTGGCGCGCGAGTGGGCGCGCGCGGAGGAGGAGGGCGTGGGGGAGACGGAGCGGCTGGAGTGAGTCGTGGAGGGCGCGGAAGAGGGCGCGGAGGACGGCGCGGAGGAGGTGCCGGGGGGAGCGGAAGAGACGACGAGGTGCATCACCTGGGGCTCGCTCAGGTTCTTCTGCGCGCGGAGGAGCGCAGGGGGGGAGAGGGAAGGGCAGAGATTGGTGGCACGTGAAACGAGTCACACTCAAGCACATCCTTTCCCCTGACGCACTTGCACGTGACGGAACAAGAAAATCATACTGACTGAATCTTTATGCTCGCACTCCCGAATAACAAGAATTTCCGGCAGCAACCAGAGTCTTCCTCCCACCATGACTCTGATCGACGACTCTAGACGTATAGCTCCGCGACATGCGGCAATAACGATGAGAGAGCGCCGACCACGCGTTAAACGACTGAGACGGTCGGAACAAAGCGTGCGAGCGGACCTGTTTAAATACGTCGCGGACGAGGAGCGAGTCTTTCACGAGCTGGCCGGCGACGATCAGCTTCTGTCGCGACGGGTCGGGGTGTCCCGCGTACTCTTCCTGCAGCTGTCGCTTCACGTCGCCCACCGTGCCCGCCGCTCGCACTCGCGTCCTGAAGTCGCCTGGCGACGACGCGGAGGGGTTCTTGATGACGACCGTGACCATCGCCTCGCCCTCCACCTCCGGCGACTGCCCCCCCTCAGATGCCATCAAGAAGCCTGCTGCCGCTGACCGGGAAAAACGGATTAATCACTGACGACTGAGGAATCACAAAGATTTTATGTGCGGAATTGACGCGTGGGGTTGCGGATCGAAGGGCAAGCAGTTGATGAGAGAGAGGAGTGGAATGAGCAGCAACAAGAGGTGGTTCATTGATTCTGCCGAGTTTCCTTTCCCGCCAATACAGTACCACCATCCTGCCGTTTCTGGAATTCCGAAAGTCGTTTCGCCAGCAAAGATTTACACGCACTGGGCGAATTTTGCGAAACCGATGCAGGCGAAATCGTCCAATTTCTGGGAGTTGCACCGCACAGTACCACGGAATCTCCTTCCAGAAGTTGGAAGGGTCACAGCTGGCGTGGAATTCACGGTAGTGGCACCACGAATGATATCAGGCAAGAATTTCCGAATGTCTTTCTGGAAATAATGTCAGTGCGCTTCTTCAGTAAAACTATTAGCTTGTACGGATTCCTTATTGCAGGTAACATCATTGTCACCGCACGCAGAAGCACGCCTAAACGTGTGCGAGTGCTAATTGCGTAGGTCGCACTGGGTACGTAAGATTCCTTCAAGGGGAGTGATGTTGTGGGTCCACACACGTGTGTGACGCGCGGCGTGCGTGTGTGCGCGCATGGCGGGCAAAAAGAAGGCGCGCGGCCATCGAGGCGGAGGCGGCCGCGCGGGGGCCGGGCGGCATCGGCGGGACGAGGAGGAGGAGGACGAGGAGCTGCGCGCGCAGCAGCTCGACGAGCTCACCGCCATGTACGCCCCGCCGCACCCCTGTCAACGGACGTATGGCTGAAACCACAGGCCGTGTGTTGGCGTCATTTTTCATGTCTGGAGGCCTATCCACCCACATTGCTGCACTCCAATAGCATTTGTTGCTCTTTTGACCTGTCGCCCCTCCGCCTTTCCCCCTGCCCTGGGCAGCTCCGCCATCTTCGCGGACGACTTTGAGCTGCGCGCGGAGCGGCCGCTGGTGGAGTATGCGCTGCTGCTGCGCCCGCACTACTCCTTTGCCGCCCACGCCAACCTCGACGCCGTCTCCCTCCACCTCGTCGTCAGGCAAGCCCCTCCCCAGGCAAGCCCGCCCCCAGGCAAGCCCGCTCCCAGGCAAGCCCGCTCCCAGGCAAGCCCGCTCCCAGGCAAGCCCGCTCCCAGGGAAGGTCGTGGTGAGGCAGTATTGCGGTGAGGCAGTGAGGTGTGGGGTGGTCGTGGAGGGGTGCAGCGGGAGAGGTGGCCGCGTCCACTCCCTCATTGCCTCCCCTTCCCCTGCCCGCGCCCCTCGTGCAGGTATGTGGCAGGATATCCGAGGCGGGCGTTGAAGCTGCGAGTGGAGGCGCGGGAGGGGCTGGAGCAGGAGGACGTGGTGGAGCTGGTGGCGCTGCTGCACGACCAGGTGGGGTCAGGCCAGGGCACAGGGGGGTGAGGGACCAACAGGCGCCTCTCTGCTCTCCGCACTGCCACTCCCCGTCCCTTGTCTATCTCCCTCCTTGCTTCCAACCAAGTCCGCCTTTCCAACGTGGCTGGGTCCATTGTTGTGTGCCTATGCGTTGCGGCTTTGCCTTGAGCGTTCACCTGACCATGCGTGCTGCACACGGCGTGTGGCAATGCAGGCAGCACGGGCAGCACGGGAGGGGCGAGTGACGGTATTCAACCTTGCCGAGACGGCACAAGAGTTCCTCTCTCGCCGCCTCTCGTCACTGTCACCCGCCACACACCACCCTCTTGCTCCCACCCAGGTGCGCTTTGTTCATCGCCCTTCACCTGTGTGCCGCATGTGTCTCTGCATTTCTAACTTCATTCCCCATCGCCGTCACAGCTCTCGCGTTGCGTGCGCTGGCGTCTTAACACTCCATCTTGGAGTGCTTGCAGGCGGGCAGCGATGGGGAGGAGGCAGAAGGCGAGGCAGCGGGCGGGGAGGAGGGGTGGGCGTGGGAGGACAGTGTGGACGCGGGGCTCTTCTCCGACCCCCTCTCTGCCCTCCCCCTCGCCCCCGCTGCCTGGCCCCCTGGCCCAGGCACTGCAGGCGCAGGCAGGGGCAGGGGCAGAGGCAGGGGCGCAGGCAGGGGCAGAGGCGCGGGGGGCAGTCAGGAGGGCGGAGCTGGGAAGGGCGAGGTGGGGGGTGGAGGGCGAGGGAAAGGAAGAGGAGCGAGTGCAGGAGGAAGAAGGGGCCTCGGTGGCAGGCCAGGGGGAGAGGGGACAGGCACAGAAGCTAGGGAGGGAAGGAGTGGAGGTACCGCTTTGGCTGGTGGTGGCGGTGGTGTGGGGAGGCCGGGTGGCGTGGGTGGTGCGGTGAAGATGCAAAGGCAGCAGAGTGAAGAAGCAAGCGAGTCGTCACACGAGGGAGAGGAGGGGGATGACGACGAGGAGGAGGAGCAGGAGAGTGGAGAGGAGGAGAGCCAAGGCAGCGGCGGCAGAGGGAGGCAGAGGGGCAGGGGGCTGTGGCAGCATGGGGGCGACAGTGCATCCGATGGCTCTGCCTCCCACACCACCACCCCCCCCTCCACTGCCCCCTCACCATCCACCACCGCGTGGCCGCTGGGGTGTTCTGCCGTGACCCTGTCAGCGTCGGGGGGCGGGGAGGAGGACACTCAGGGGTCGGTGGGCGAACTAATCCGGCGAGTGAGAGAGGGGCTCAGGAGCATGCAGGTGCTGGCCGAGGTGCGTGGTGGACTGACAAAGGGGAGCAGGTTAGGGGTACAACAGGGTTCTCAATCTCTTTGCGTTCAGTGCTTAACTTCTGGGCTTTAAGTTCCCCCAATGAACATCTGCTCCCTGCTTCCTGCTACCTGCTCCCTATGTGTGTGTGTGTGTGTGTGTGTGTGTGTGTGTGTGTGTGTGTGTGTGTGTGTGTGTGTGCATGTGTGTGCATGTGGTGGCATGTGGTGGCATGTGGCAGGTGGAGCAGCTGGTGGGGCATCAGAGGAGCACGGCGAGGCACAGGGGATCAGGGGGCGGGCGCACGCAGCAGGACGGTGGTGGTGATGGAGGGGATGAGGAGGAGGGGGAGGAGGACGAGCAGAGTGAGGAGGAGGAGGAGGATGATGATGAGGAGGAGGAAGAGAGTGAAGGAAGGAGTTTTTCAACGGATGGAGGGACGGCAGTGGGTGCAGATGGGAGGGATGCAGCACAGGGAGCCACTGCAGCTGCAGCTGCGGTGCTGGCCTCGGCATCGGCCTCAGGAGCGCAGCGCCGTGGGTCGCGCGACATGTACACGGGCATGATCCAGCGCGACCTGCTCCTCGTACCCCCTCCCTCACCCTGCGCCCTGCTCGCTCCGTGCATTCCCCTTCTGCCCTCCTAACAAGCATTCCCTTCACGTGCGTGCAGGCTCACCTACTGCGCATGGTCACCAGCCACAACGGCCCTCTGCCCCACGCCCTGCCTGCCCTCGCCTCTCAGCTGCAAGCTCTTGAGGTAACCACGTGTCTTGTGGTAACCACATGCCCTGTGGTAACCACATGCCATGTGGTAACCACATGCCCTGTGGTAACCACATGCCTTGTGGTAATTACATTCCTGTGGTAACCACATGGCTGGAGGTAAGCACATTGGGTAACCACAAGGCTTGTGGTAAGCACCTGTCATGAGGTAACATCATGCAATGAGGTAACCACATGCAATGATCGCTGCAGGATTAGTTATTGCAATGAAAACAGTGAGAGATGATGCAGCTATCTAACGTGTGCATGCGTGTCTGTGTGTGTGCGCATGTGTGCGAGTGCGAGTGCAACGTGGGCAGGTGATACCGCAGTGGGTGGCGGATCTGCTGCACCATGACCCGCGCCTCATCGACCGTGCCTTCCACCGCGTCTTCAGCAAGCCTGCCCGCCGCCTCACTGCGCACGCCCATGCAGACCCATCCGTGAGCTTTCCTGCTATGCCATGTGCGCCACCTGTCCCTGCTTTCTCTCACGCTCCCTCCACCCATCCTGCCCATGCATGTGTGCATGCACCGGTCCAGCCGTGCTGTGTGTGCGCTCTTGTATGGCTCCTGCCTTGCCTGTGGCAAGGGCATGGGATCTAACGGGGCATGCAAGGGGTGCGGCTGTGCTGTCACGCCACTCTCACACTCACAGGTGCAACGGGCGCTGCAGCGGTTCTGGTCGGCCAGTGCGGAGGGCGAGGGCAGCGCTGTAGATGCAGCAGCACAGGCGTCGGGGTCGCGCTACCTCTCAGACTTCGAGGAGGTCGCCATGCTGGGTGGGTGAGGCCATGCCATGCTGGGTGGGTGAGGCCATGCCATGCTGGGTGGGTGAGGCCATGCCATGCTGGGTGGGTGAGGCCATGCCATGCTGGGTGGGTGAGGCCATGCCATGCTGGGTGGGTGAGGCCATGCCATGCTGGGTGGGTGAGGCCATGCCATGCTGGGTGGGTGAGGCCATGCCATGCTGGGTGGGTGAGGCCATGCCATGCTGGGTGGGTGAGGCCATGCCATGCTGGGTGGGTGAGGCCATGCCATGCTGGGTGGGTGAGGCCATGCCATGCTGGGTGGGTGAGGCCATGCCATGCTGGGTGGGTGAGGCCATGCCATGCTGGGTGGGTGAGGCCATGCCATGCTGGGTGGGTGAGGCCATGCCATGCTGGGTGGGTGAGGCCATGCCATGCTGGGTGGGTGAGGCCATGCCATGCTGGGTGAGGCCAGTCCGTGCCTTTCTTGCTCTGTATGCCGTCTCCCCTGGTGACTCTCATCACTGCCTCTCATTAGTTCTTTGCCATGAACCCCTCCTGGTCGTGCTGCCCGTGTGGGTGGAGCAGGCAAGGGCGGGTTTGGGTCGGTGGTGCTGTGTGTGAACAAGCTGGACGGGCGCAAGTATGCCATCAAGAGGATTCCCCTCCGGGGCAAGAGCCCCGCCCTCAACTCCAAGATCCTCAGGTGCCCTGCCCCTCCCACCCTCCTACGCTTTCACCCTCTCACCCTCTTGCCCTCTCAACTGCTCACACTCTCAACCTCTCACCCTCTTACCCTCTTACCCTCTCACCCTCTGACCCCCCTTGCATGTGGGGCGGGGCCATGGCAGGGAGGTGGCGACGCTGTCACGGCTGCAGCACCAGCACGTGGTGCGCTACTACCAGGCCTGGTTCGAGACCGGGGCCGGCCGCTCCACTCGCCACCTGCCCGCGCACACCGACACAGACAGCATGGAGGGCAGCGCGAGCCCCACTGCGAGCACGTCGCTGGCGTCGGCATCGGAGTGGCTCACTCGCGATGCAGACCTCACCCACTCCCACAGCTTGCCGGGGGGGAGGGACGGCAGGAATGGGGGTGAGGCGGAAACGACGTACCTGTACATTCAGATGGAGTACTGCCCCAGGTGATTTCAGATGGAGTACTGCCCTAGGTGCTTTCAGATGGAGTACTGCCCTAGGTGCGTTCAGATGGAGTACTGCCCTAGGTGCGTTCAGATGGAGTACTGCCCTAGGTGCGTTTTCTGACACTGCTTTCCCCTCTTCACACCTTCTGCTCTTTGCACGTCCGCCTTTTGCGGTTGTGATGGAAGAATGTGCACCTATCCGTTCGTGTTTCGACCATGCACATTACATGCGCGTTTTCACCCTGAGCCCTCTTCTTCTTTCGCCTGCCTGCCCTTGTCCCGCCCTCTCCGCGCCTGTGCCTGCCAGGACGCTGCGGCAGGTGTTGGAGGCGAGGGGGGGGGACGAGGTGGATGGCGCGTGGGCGTGGAGGGTGGTGCGGCAGGTGGTGGAGGGGCTGCTGCACGTGCACGGGCAGGGCATCATCCACCGCGACCTCACTCCCAACAACCTCTTTGTTGACCCGCGTGGGGACATCAAGATCGGCGACTTCGGCCTCGGTATCACAACACGCCTTGCATGCGCGCTCACCTGCATGCGCGCTCACCTGCATGCTGCATCTGCATGACTTGATGGTTTGCTTGTTTTTTCCCTTTTGTTTTGCTCTGCGTACCGTTAGTTTGCCTGCCTGATCTCGTCTGTTTCTTCTCCGTGATCCTGCTTGTGTATCTTTTACTCGTCTGTCCTAACTCCCCTCCCCCCCCCCCCTTTACCCCATGGGGCATGACACGGCAGCCAAGTTCTCGGAGCTGGGGGAGGGGGTCGATGCTGCAGACGCTGGAGAAGAGGCAGAAAGGGAATTGAGTCCCGAAGGGGGTGCAGAAAGGGGGGGGAGGGAAGGGGGCCCCATGGGGGAGAGGCGGCAGTCGGCGACGGGGCAGGTGGGGACGTACTTCTACACGGCACCCGAGGTGGAGCAGGGGTGGGCGCACGTGGACGACAAGGCAAGTGCACGCAGCATCCGCACCCCTGGCCTGGCACCCCACGCACCCTGTCATCTCGTACCTCTCTCCTGTGCCTGTCCATGCCCTCACCCGTGCCTGTGCATCCATATGCCGTGGCACGTAACTAACATCCCCGTGTGAGCTGGGTGGGGTGGGCAGGTGGACATGTGGAGTGTGGGCGTGGTGCTGCTGGAGTGTTGGCACCCCTTCCACACGGCCATGGAGCGCGCTCACACGCTCTCAGCCCTCAAGCTGCACTGCACCATTCCACATGAGTGGGCGCTCAAGCACCCCCAGGTGCGCCCTGCCACACGCATGGGTGCTCCACCACCCGCCTGTGTGCGTCTGTGTGTTTCTGTGTGTACCCAAGTGCCTGTATGTGCCTGTGTATGCCTGTGTGTGCCTGTTTGCACCTGTGTGTATGTGTGTGTGTGTGTGTGTGTGTGTGTGTGTGTGTGTGTGTGTGTGTGTGTGTCACACTCTCCACAGGTGGCAGAGCTGGTGAGGCGGCTGCTGAGTCCGCTACCCAGTGACCGCCCGTCAGCAGCAGAGGTGTTGCGATGCGACCTCATGCCGCCGCGCATGGAGGATGAGGCGCTCAACGGTGGGTGCTTGCACACCACAAACGGTGGGGGTGGGGGGTCACTCTCACTGCCCGCGCTCCTTCTAAACTCCCATGCTGCAACCTTTCCTGCCTGCACACAACCTTTCCTGCATGGCTTCCCTGCTGGTGTATCCTGTGTTCACTCCCATGACCGTCGCCCTTCCCTCACTCGTGTGTGCCGCTGCGCCCCCCCCCCCCTGCACTGCGCTGGGGGCGAGCAGGCATACTGAGGGCCATCCAGGCGCCGGGGGACGACTCCTCCTCCTCTACTTCCTCGTCGGCGGTGTACGACCGCGTGCTCGCCGCCATCTTCGCCCGCCTCCCCGCCACGCCTCCCTCCTCTGCGCCCACCCCGCCACCTGTGCGCACGCTGCATGGGGGGGCCGGGGAGGAGGAGGAGTGGGAGCGGGGGGCGGTGCAGTGGACGGGGGCGAGGGAGGCGTTCATGGCGGGCGTGCAGTGCATCTTCCACCGCCATGGCGCCCTGCGCTCCGACACACGTGTCGTTGACTTTGCCTATCCCGACCGCCACACCCACGAGTACGCCAACCCTAACCCCTCAATGTTGTGTGTGTGGTGACCTTCTCGCTATGCTCTCTCATTGTCTGCCCGTGCATTTTCTCTCATCTCTCTTCCGCCCCTCCTACCTCTCCGTGCGCCCCTGCCAGGCTGGCGGTGCGGGTGGTGGACGCACAGGGCTCGCTGCTCTCACTGCGCTACGACACTCGACTCACCTTCGCCCGCTGGGTCGCCGCCACACAGGTGATGCACGTGATGCCGCTTGAATGTCCCGATACTCTCATGCTCCTCTCTTTCTGTTGTCGACCCATTGCCCCTTTGCCATCCATTTGGCACGTGTGCTGCCCCCCCGGTCCTCCCCCTCCCAGACCTCGTCTCTGAAGCGCTTCCAGTTCTCCTCTGTGTTTCGCCGCGCTCCCGGTCGCCGCCCCCCTCACGATTATCTGCAGGTGTGTCGCCTGACCCGTTGAAACAAAGGGGTGATGGAACGGGGTGAAACTGGGTTGGTGGCAAGAGTCCAGGGCTTAAGGGCATGGGGTATAAGTAGCGAGTGCTGCTCGCCACGTGTGCGGCAATCATGGTCGGTGTGCAGCATTCTCAGGTGAGTGCTGAACAAGCGTGTATGCGAGCTAGCTCCTTGGGGCCTCACAGCAGTGCATGGCAGGGTAGGGTGCACCTTGAACTTTGCCCAGAAATGGCCTAACCAACTGCTTATCTCTTCCTCTCTTGCTGCCACCCCCTGTCCTCCACCATGCCCCTGGCCATTTCGATTTTGCTCCGTGCCATGCGATGTGGTGCGGGCATGTGCATTGCGGTGGAGGTGGGTGGCAGGCAGACTTTGACATTGTGGGAGGGACGCCGGTTCTGGCGGATGCTGAAGCCATCAAGGTGCGTTCTCAGGCAGCGCTTTGCTCGTCCATGTGCCTCACACACATGCGTCACTTCCAAACCCTTCCACACACAAGTGCCCACTTGCACGCTAACAAGATTCACGTGCCCCAGTGCTGCAACAGAACAGTGCCAGCTTTCCCTTTTCCCCGCCTTGCCTCTCTACCTGCTGCCTCACACCCTGCTGCCTCGTGCCGTGCTGCATGCAGGTGGCGGTGGAGGTGGTGGAGGGGAGTGCGGCGGCATGGGGGGCGGTGGAGGTGCGGCTGAACCACCGCGACCTGCTGTGCGCCATCTGGCAGTGGGCAGGGGTCACACGCCCGCAGGTCGCCAGTGTCGCCCAGGTCACTCCCCTCCCCCCTGCCGCCTGCTCCTCTCCCCTTCAACCATGTCGACCACGCACACCACCCACCATCTTCAACCATGTCCACCACGCACACCACCCACCATCTTCAGCCATCTCCCATGCCTCGCAGCACCATGCCTCGCAGCACCATGCCTCGCAGCACCATGCCTCGCAGCACCATGCCTCGCAGCACCATGCCTCGCAGCACCATGCCTCGCAGCACCATGCCTCGCAGCACCATGCCTCGCAGCACCATGCCTCGCAGCACCATGCCTCGCAGCACCATGCCTCGCAGCACCATGCCTCGCAGCACCATGCCACCCTGCACTCCTCTCACCCTTCCACCCGCGCTCATGCCTCCCTGCTACGCCCCTCCTCTCCCCCTGCACCCCCCCCACCCCCCCCCCCCCCCCCCCGGCCCCCCTGTTCACGAGCAGTTGCTGGCGCTGCTGGGCGGCTCTCCCCCCACAGCCCCCTCCCGCAAGGCCGCGTGGCCTCTTGTTCGCCGCCAGCTGCTGCAGGTGCGTGTGTGCTGCTGCATGCTGTGAGAAGGTGCGTGTCAGTCCGTCCTTCATGATCCATCGTCCGTCTGCCTGTCTGTCCATCTGTGTGTCTTTTTGTGTTTGAGCGTTTGTGCGTGTGTGCCGTTGTGCCAACGTGCCAGTGTTTCTGTTCCTGTGCGCCGGCGTGTGTGGGTGAGTGGTGCGGTGCGGTGGCAGGGAGTGGGGCTGGGTGAGGCGGTGGTGGATCGCCTGCAGGCGGTGGAGAAGCGCTTCAGTGGGCCGGCAGACGATGCCATGGCGCGCCTCGCAGGGGCGCTGCCACCAGGTATGCGCTCACAGGGGCGCTGCCACCAGGTATGCGCTCACAGGGGCGCTGCCACCAGGTATGCGCTCACAGGGGCGCTGCCACCAGGTATGCGCTCACAGGGGCGCTGCCACCAGGTATGCGCTCACAGGGGCGCTGCCACCAGGTATGCGCTCACAGGGGCGCTGCCACCAGGTATGCGAAAAGAACATTTACTTCAATGTTCTGCCCATCCCTCTTATTCCTCCCACTCATGTCTTTCCATTTTCCCTTCCATCTCCCCTCTCATCCTCCCCCCCGGGCCAGGCCCACTGGTGGCGGCGGCACTGGGCGAGCTGGGAGAGCTGCTGGCGCTGCTGCGAGTGTGGGGCATCCACCCCGCGTGCACCACCATCGACGCCCTCATGGCGCCCTCCCACCACTACTTCTCCAAATGCTTCTTCCAGGTCTCCCCCACCCCCTTCTTCTTTCCCTTAAGCGCCCTCTTTGATTTTGCTGCTCCTGTTTCCTTCCGTGCATGTGACATGCAGCCATGGAATGTCTCCAGTTCTTATTTCCAGCCTTGTTCACCCTGCCTCCTGCCTCGTTGTATCTCCTGCGTGCGCTGCACCTCAGGTCCACGCAAGGCACCTGCCGTCTCAACCTTCCCATCACCAGCACCAGCAGCAGCACCCCCTAAACCCTATCAGCACCCAGCGCACCACCCTGCCCTCTGATGCTTCCTTGCCTGGCGCTCGCTCGCTCTCCGCCTCGCCCCCATCCGCCCTGGCCGCCCCGTGGTCGTCCTCGCCGCCCCTCTGCGTGGCTGTGGGCGGCCGCTACGATGCCCTGCTGCTCCACCTCTCCTCCGCTGCTGCCGCTGGGAGAGGAGCGGTGGGTTGTTCAGACGGGGATGCATGTTAGGGGCAGGAAGTCGAAGCGCGTGGCATGGTCTGGCAGTATTGGGGACTTGTGACCTCCATGTTTGCAGGAATGGGCGTGTGGTGAGGTGTGGGGTGTCAGACATGGGTAGCTCCACTGCAACGTCCCCATATTCCCCTATTCTTCTTTCTTCATTCCCTGTTTGCATGTTGTTCCTTCTCCTTGTTCTCGCCTGTTAGTCTGCTGCTCCCTGCTGTAACCGTCAAGTGTTGTTGTGCGCCTCTTGGTTGGTCCCTTGCCTGCGTGTCTGTGTCTCTCGTGTATGCGCATGTCTGTGTCTGTGTCTCCTCCCTGTCAATGCGTCTGCGTGACCCGGCCCTCTCCTTGATGCTTTGTGCCGTGTGCTGCATGCCTCCTCTGCTGCTTTGTGCCGTGTGCTGCATGCCTCCTCTGCTGCTTTGTGCCGTGTGCTGCATGCCTCCTCTGCTGCTTTGTACCGTGTGCTGCATGCCTCCTCTGCGTGTGCTGCACGCCTCCTCTGCTGCGCAGAGCTCTCGGGCAAGAGGGACAGGAGGCAGTGGGGGGGGCAGTGGGGGGGGGAGTGGGGCGGTGGGGTTCAGTGTGGCGCTGCACAAGCTCATGGCGCCATCACACCCAACCACCCACCACACTTCCAGGTGCCCGCTCACACGCATCTCGCTCCACCACCTACTTCTTTCAACCCCTCTCACTTGCTTGGCACACCCTTTGCTTCATCACTTTCCTTCCCTCATCCTCTCCTGCACCACTCTCCCCTCACCCCTCCACCCGCACCCCCCTGTGCGTGTGTGTGGGTGGGGGAGCAGGCAGGCAGCGGTGGATGTGCTCGTGTGCGCCCGGGGAGGGGCGGGGCTGCTCAGCGAGCGGATGGAAGTTTCTGCGCGGCTGTGGGCGGCAGGAATCAAGGTAGCTATGGGCGGCTGGAGTAGTAGCTTTGAACGGCGGGGATAAAACAAGCTCTTGGTGGCAGGAAAACGTTCCTGGTGGGCAGTGGAAGATCTCATACACTAAACTGTTTAGTGAGGGATGATATGCTGATAGTGACAACGTGGAATCCTGTCCCCACTGCCCAATGTGCGGTGCATGTGCGGCAGGCGGAGTATGTGAGTGTGCGGGCACCCAGCCTGACGGAGCAGTATGAGCACGCACACGAGCACGGCATCAAGTGGCTCGTGCTTCTCACCGATGCCGGCCTGCACACCCACTCTGCCAAGGTGCGTCTCGCTCTCACATGAGAGGTTGGTAAGGCAGTCACAAGGGTGTGCGGGTGGGGGAGGAAGAGGGTGAGGGTGAAGAGGTGAGAGGGGGGTGGAAAGCAAGAGTGCATCCTTTGTTATGAGTGTGAGAGAGGGGAACATGAGTGGAGAGGAACAGAGGAAAGGGAAGACATAGGAGGGAAGAGAGGAGGGGTGAAAGATGGAGAGAGAGTCAATCTGTGCCTCTGGTCTCTCTGTGCACATCCGTGCTTGTATCAGGTACGGCATCTAGATTTGAAGACGGAGGAGGAAGTGAGCCTTGATAATTTGGTCAAGTTCTTCCTCGACGCCCTGCCGTCTCTACCCACTTCTCGCCGCCGCGGGGCCACAGCACCATCTGGTTCTGGCGCTGCTTGACTTCTGGCTCACCATAGTTTGAGCAAGTAGAGCATAACTACACCATTGCCATTTAAGACTCGTCTTTTGTATGTCAAAGGTGCTAAAAATAATAATAAGAATGCTTTCTTCTTGCATGATAATGTATTGCTTCCAAATTGCTTTGTACTCTCGCTACATAACGCACGTGTACACATGAAGGCGCGCGCAAGGACTCGTCCCCTAATAGCCTGGTTCGCTAACTTCCTGGTCCACGAACTTCCTGGTCCGGCGGAAGAAAAACGCACGGGCCTAGCGTGTGCAAAATGGCCCCAAAACGTGTGCAAAATAGCAATAACAAGGGCCTAGCGTGTGCAAAATAGCAAGAACAAGGGCCTAGCGTGTGCAAAATTGCAAGAACAAGGGCCTAACGTGTTGAAAATAGCAAGAACAAGGGCCTAGCGTGTGCAAAATTGCAAGAACAAGGGCCTAGCGTATGCAAAATTGCAAGAACAAGGGCCTAGCGTGTGCAAAATTGCAAGAACAAGGGCCTAGCATGTGCAAAATTGCAAGAACAAGGGCCTAGCGTATGCAAAATTGCAAGAACAAGGGCCTAGCGAGTGCAAAATAACAAGAACAAGGGCCTAGCATGTGCAAAATTGCAAGGACAACGGCCTAGCGTGTGCAAAATTGCAAGAACAAGGGCCTAGCGAGTGCAAAATAGCAAGTGCGAAGGCCTAGCGTGTGCAAAATTTCAAGAACAAGGGCCTAGCGTTTGCAAAATAGCAAGAACAAGGGCCTAGCGTGTGCAAAATTGCAAGAACAAGGGCCTAGTGTATACAAAATTGCAAGAACAAGGGCCTAGCGTGTGCAAAATAGCAAGAACAAGGGCCTAGCGTATGCAAAATTGCAAGAACAAGGGCCTAGCGTGTGCAAAATTGCAAGAACAAGGGCCTAGCGTGTGCAAAATTGCAAGAACAAGGGCCTAGCGTGTGCAAAATGGCAAGAACAAGGGCCTAGCGTATGCAAAATGGCAAGAACAAGGGCCTAGCGAGTGCAAAATTGCAAGAACAAGGGCCTAGCGTGTGCGAAATAGCAAGAACAAGGGCCTAGCGTGTGCAAACTAGCAAGAACAAGGGCCGAGCGTGTGCAAAATTGCAAGAATAAGGGCCTATTGATGCAAAATTGCAAGAACAAGGGCCTAGCGCTTGCAAAATTGCAAGAACAAGGGCCTAACGTGTTAAAAATAGCAAGAACAAGGGCCTAGCGTGTGCAAAATTGCAAGAACAAGGGCCTAGTGTGTGCAAAATTGCAAGAACAAGGGCCTAGCGTGTGCAAAATAGGAAGAACAAGGGCCTAGCGTATGCAAAATTGCAAGAACAAGGGCCTAGCGTGTGCAAAATTGCAAGAACAAGGGCCTAGCGTGTGCAAAATTGCAAGAACAAGGGCCTCGCGTGTGAAAAATGGCAAGAACAATGGCCTAGCGTGTGCAAAATGGCAAGAACAAGGGCCTAGCGAGTGCAAAATTGCAAGAACAAGGGCCTAGTGTGTGCGAAATAGCAAGAACAAGGGACTAGCGTGTGCAAACTAGCAAGAACAAGGGCCGAGCGTGCGCAAAATTGCAAGAATAAGGGCCTATTGATGCAAAATTGCAAGAACAAGGGTCTAGCGTGTGCAAAATAGCAAGAACAAGGGCCTAGCGTGTACAAAATTGCAAGAACAAGGGCCTAGTGTGTACAAAATTGCAAGAACAAGGGCCTAGCGTGTGCAAAATTGCAAGAACAAGGGCATAGCGTGTGCAAAATAGCAAGAACAAGGGCCTAGCGTGTGCAAAATTGCAAGAACAAGTGCCTAGCGAGTGCAAAATTGCAAGAACAAGGGCCTAGCGTGTGCAAAATTTCAAAAACAAGGGCTTTGCGTGTGCAAAATAGCTAGAACAAGGGCTTAGCGTGTGCAAAATTGCAAGAACAAGGGCCTAGCATGTGCCAAATTGCAAGAACAAGGGCCTAGCGAGTGCAAAATTGCAGGAACAAAGGCTTAGCGTGTGCAAAAATGCAAGAACAAAGGCTTAGCGTGTGCAAAATAGCAATAACAAGGGCCTAGCGTTTGCAAAATTGCAAGAACAACGGCCTAGCATGTGCAAAATAAAAAGAACAAGGGCATAGCGTGTGCAAAATAGAAAGAACAAGGGCCTAGCGTGTGCAAAACAGCAAGAACAAGGGCCTAGCGTGTGCAAAATAGCAAGAACAAGGGCCTAGCGTGTGCAAAATTGCAAGAACAAGTGCCTAGCGAGTGCAAAATAGCAAGAACAAGGGCCTAGCGTGTGCATAATTTCAAAAACAAAGGCTTTGCGTGTGCAAAATAGCTAGAACAAGGGCTTAGCGTGTGCAAGATTGCAAGAACAAGGGCCTAGCATGTGCAAAATTGCAAGAACAAGGGCCTAGCGAGTGCAAAATTGCAGGAACAAAGGCTTAGCGTGTGCAAAAATGCAAGAACAAAGGCTTAGCGTGTGCAAAATAGCAATAACAAGGGCCTAGCGTTTGCAAAATTCCAAGAACAACGGCCTAGCATGTGCAAAATAAAAAGAACAAGGGCATAGCGTGTGCAAAATAGAAAGAACAAGGGCCTAGCGTGTGCAAAATAGCAAGAACAAGGGCCTAGCGTGTGCAAAATAGCAAGAACAAGGGCCAAGCGTGTGCAAAATGGCAAGAACAAGGGCCTAGCGTGTGCAAAATAGCAAGAACAAGGGCCTAGCGTGTTCAAAATTGCAAGAACAAGGGCCTAGCGTGTGCAAAATTTCAAGAACAAGGGTCTAGCCTGTGCAAAATTGCAAGAACAAGGGCATAGCGTGTGCAAAATTGCAAGAAAAAGGGCCTAGCATGTGCAAATTTGCAAGAACAAGGGCCTAGCGTGTGCAAAATTGCAAGAACAACGGCCTAGCGTGTATAAAATTGCAAGAACAAGGGCCTAGCATGTGCAAAATAGCAAGAACAATGGCCTAGCAAGTGCAAAATTGCAAGAACAAGGGCCTAATGTGTGCGAAATTGCAAGAACAAGGGCGTAGCATGTGCAAAATAGCAAGAACAAGGGCCTAGCGTATGCAAAATTGCAAGAACAAGGGCCTAGCGAGTGCAAAATAGCAAGAACAAGGGCCCAGGATGTGCAAAATTGCAAGGACAAGGGCCTAACGTGTTCAAAATTGCAAGAACAAGGGCCTAGCGAGTGCAAAATAGCAAATGCAAGGGCCTAGCGTGTGCAAAATTTCAAGAACAAGGGCCTAGTGTTTGCAAAATAGCAAGAACAAGGGCCTAGCGTGTGCAGAATTGCAAGAACAAGGGCCTAGTGTGTGCAAAATTGCAAGAACAAGGGCCTAGCGTGTGCAAATTAGCAAGAACAAGGGCATAACGTATGCAAAATTGCAAGAACAAGGGCCTAGCGTGTGCGAAATTGCAAGAACAAGGGCCTAGCGTGTGCAAAATTGCAAGAACAAGGGCCTAGCGTGTGCAAAATGGCAAGAACAAGGGCCTAGCGTGTGCAAAATGGCAAGAACAAGGGCCTAGCGAGTGCGAAATTGCAAGAACAAGGGCCTAGCGTGTGCGAAATAGCAAGAACAAGGGACTAGCGTGTGCAAACTAGCAAGAACAAGGGCCGAGCATGTGCAAAATTGCAAGAATAAGGGCCTATTGATGCAAAATTGCAAGAACAAGGGTCTAGCTTGTGCAAAATAGCAAAAACAAGTACCTAGCGTGTACAAAATTGCAAGAACAAGGGCCTAGTGTGTACAAAATTGAAAGAATAAGGGCCTAGCGTGTGAAAAATTGCAAGAACAAGGGCATAGCATGTGCAAAATAGCAAGAACAAGGGCCTAGCGTGTGCAAAATTGCAAGAACAAGTGCCTAGCGAGTGCAAAATAGCAAGAACAAGGGCCTAGCGTGTGCAAAATTTCAAAAACAAGGGCTTTGCGTGTGCAAAATAGCAAGAACAAGGGCCTAGTGTGTGCCAAAATTGCAAGAGCAAGGGCCTAGCATGTGCCAAATTGCAAGAACAAGGGCCTAGAGAGTGCAAAATTGCAAGAACAAAGGCCTAGCGTGTGCAAAAATGCAAGAACAAAGGCTTAGCGTGTGCAAAATAGCAAGAACAAGGGCCTAGCGTGTGCAAAATAGCAAGAACAAGGGCCTAGCGTGTGCAAAATAGCAAGAACAAGGGCCTAGCGTGTGCAAAATGGCAAGAACAAGGGCCTAGTGTGTGCAAAATAGCAAGAACAAGGGCCTAGCATGTGCAAACTTGCAAGAACAAGGGCCTAGCGTGTGCAAAATTTCAAAAACAAGGGTCTAGCGTGTGCAAAATTGCAAGAACAAGGGCATAGTGTGTGCAAAAGTGCAAGACAAAGGGCCTAGCATGTGCAAAATTGCAAGAACAAGGGCCTAGCGTGTGCAAAATTGCAAGAACAACGGCCTAGCGTGTGCAAAATTGCAAGAGCAAGTGCCTAGCATGTGCAAAACTGCAAGAACAAGGGCCTAGCGAGTGCAAAATTGCAAGAACAAGGGCCTAATGTGTGCAAAATTGCAATAACAAGGGCCTAGGATGTGCAAAATAGCAAGAACAAGGGCCTAGCGTTTGCAAAATTGCAAGAACAAGGGCCTAGCATGTGCAAAATAGCAAGAACAAGGGCATAGCGTGTGCAAAATAGCAAGAACAAGGGCCTAGCATGTGCAAAATAGCAAGAACAAGGGCATAGCGAGTGCAAAATTGCAAGAACAAGGGCCTAGCGTGTGCAAAATAGCAAGAAAAAGGGCCTAGCGTGTGCAAACTTGCAAGAACTAGGGCCTAGCGTGTGCAAAATTGCAAGAACAAGTGCCTAGCGAGTGCAAAATAGCAAGAACAAGGGCCTAGCGTGTGCAAAATTTCAAAAACAAGGGCTTTGCGTGTGCAAAATAGCAAGAACAAGGGCCTAGCGTGTGCAAAATTGCAAGAACAAGGGCCTAGCATGTGCCAAATTGCAAGAACAAGGGCCTAGCGAGTGCAAAATTGCAAGAAAAAAG